CGTCCACGTGAAACAAGCAAAACGGGAGAATTTTAAACTCCACCAAGCAAGCAGAATATTTAGTCCTCAGGCAGGAGAACTCTGGGAAGCAGTGACGTGAGGGTCCCCATGGCCTCTGTCCCTGATGACCCAGTTGTGATGTGATTTATGTGGGCTTGGAGCTGCCCTTGCTCCGACCCCAGTGGAGGCTGTGTGGGAAGTTCGTGTCTCGGAGCCGTACACTGCTCTGCGGAGTGTCTGGAGCCTGCTGTGTGCACACACACTGATAAATAGGGAAAGGCCTGGCTTGCTCCAGCTGGATCCGAGCTGGGATCGGCGCTGCAGCCCCACGGACTCCACTCTGGAAGTGAGAAGCTCCCTGGAACTACTGTAAGTATTTAATTTCCTTCTCTGCATGCTCTGGGATTATAAATTGTTGCTGTAGCCATACATCACTTTGCCATGTGAATATATTTCAAGCTTTGGGCTTTTTTTCTTCTTTTTCTTTTTTTTTTCCCCCTGTTTTTTCCTTTCTTTTCAAACATCTGACTAAATGCAAACCGAAAGCAGGCACTTTCAAATTTGGCATCCTACTGCCAAGGATTTGTTCCAACACTACTTCACTTGACATGCAGAAAGAACAAAAATTACTTTTACATTCAATCATTCGTTTCCCTTCCCCAAAGTACCTGGAAAACTGTGAGTTTCAAACAGCCTCTAACTGCTCATTTCAAAATGTATAAAAATGATGCCTCTGAAATAATTATCCATGGGGTAACAACTCCAAAGGAAGATTTCAAGGCACAATCCATTGGTGAAAGAAGTCAATTCCTGTTATGGTTGTTATATGACCAGGAGATAATGCATTTAATGGGAAGAAAAGTGGGATTTCTTTGGGAAACTTCTTGGCACAGTAAAACCAGGAGGAACAGAGAAAACCTTAGTAATACATGTCAGCTGCAGAGAGGATCAATGAAGTGATCCAACAACAAAATCATTCTTTAATTACACACTGATTACTGAACTGCTTGAGTGAGGCTGAATATATCACCTGGCATCACACCTAGTTGACTTGGCTTGTGCTCAGTTCATTTTTTATGCCAGTTTTAGGTTTAAATTTCCCAGATAAACCCCCCCAAGCTATGCTTTCAGCAGCAATCAGAGCACAGCACTGAACACTGAACGTGCCTTGAGTTCACATTATGTGCCCCAAGGTGTGTTCAATCCATGGTGAAGACCTTCAGCTTGAGTTCCTAAAATTCCCTGTAAACAACAAGTTTCTCCATGACCCAACTGTCAAAATATTTACAACAGCAGCTAAAGGTCAATCTGGAGCTCTGAGAGCGCTCCTTGTGCCCCTGCTAAAGTGTGTTTTGCATCTTCATAGATTTGATAAGTTGATGATAAGTTGCTCTATGATATGGGATTTTATAGCAATAAAAATGATAAAATCCACATCCTTTACCATAAATAGCTATAAACTGATGTATAGGACAGATTCTAATCTGAACGTGTACATTCTAGTTATGATTCTACCTTACTTCTAGGAATTAATGAGGTTTTTTTCCTTCCTAGTTTCCATCTTTGATAAATTGACAAATCTAAGACAAGACTAAGAATTGAATGTGGCTGAATTTCTGATGATAACCAACCCCTTAAACTGACACACATTCTGGTTTATACTGAACATTTTCAGCTCAGAAATTACTGGCAAAACTAAGTCTGTAAAATTACATTTTCCAACATGCTTAAGCAACCTCCAGTCTAAGTTAGCTCCTCTTCTGAAACAAACACCATTCCCTCACCTGGTCAGGATTTGCCACATGAAAATGCTCAGCAGAAGAGGGAGAAACAGGGAACAGCATGTGCAAGTGCACAGATGACATTTTCTTTCAGGTCAGTCTATGTGACTGAGGACTGGAAGGATTTTCATCCTATCTGTGTTACTGCTATGAAACAAGGGATTAAAAAATTCATCTTTTGCTTCCAGTCCTTTCTACTTTTTGGCTAAAGACCTTAATGCATCATCTCTGGGAATGTTATTCTGTGTTTGCTTCCTTTTAAAGAAGAAATACACAAACATATGGTTATACTGAGAGTACACGGAAAAATGGGCACAAAATAGTTTGGTTTGGGAGTGGCACAACTGTAACTGCCCCAAACATCTGAACCTGTTACTCCAACCTTATTTCAACTTTGTCCAAGTTTGTGGTGTTTTGAAAGTGACAGCTGGGCACATCTGTCAGGGATTGCTCAGCTTCACCAAGCCAAGCTCTGGGCACATGCAGAATTCATTTCTGCCTGGCAAAGGGTTAATGAACATATGTGTGGCCTGAGGAAATGTCCCTTAGGTCAGTCCCATGAGGTGTGAGGGATTAGGGAGGCTCCTGAGCTCTGGGGAGAGCAGCATGTAATGCATCATGAGACTCAGCCACTGCTGCAGCTCAGAGGAGACCTCCCTGCTGCTGCCTCACTCACATACCAGGGGGAGGCAAAGGTTGGAACACACAACTATCACAGCCAATCTGATAAATAATCAAAACTTTCCTGTCCTAGGAAATGAAGTTCCTTCCTTACAAACCATATTCTCTTCTTTCCCTTTGGTTTTTGCTTTAAAAAGCTCAGTGTTATGTTCCATCAGAAGAACAAACCTGTCAATGCTAAATTCTGCAGTGCCAGAAAATCAGACACTTAATGTTCATGCACAGGCACAATCATCGAGTCTCATTTTGAGACAGTGGAGCATTCCTCAAACAACCCTGGATTTCCTCTTTATAACCTTCTCTTACTGTCAGATCTTCAGTTTACAAAGTCATTCTTTGTAAGGCTTTGGGGTGCCCTAATTGTGGCCTACAGGAAACTTGGAGAGAGACGTTTTACAAGGGTCTGGAGTGACAGGACAAGGGGCTTCAGACTGAGAGTAGGTTTAGATAAAATATTGGGAAGAAAATACTTACTGTGAGGGAGGTAAGGCATTGGAACAGGTTGCTCAGAGAAGTTGTGGGTGTCCAATCCCTGGAAGTGTTTGAGACCAGGTTGGATGGAGCTGTGAGCTACTTGGTCTAGTGGAAGGTGTCCCTGCCCATGGCAGGGGGGTTGGAACTAAATGATCTTTAAGGTCCTTTTCAACCCAAACTATTCTATGATTCTATGATTCTAAGCTGGGAATTCTGTGGTTGCATCTGATCACTGTTATTAGTCATAAAAATCAGGAAGAAAGGGTTAAATTCTTCCTCATGCAATACCTGATTTGAGGAAACTTTGCCTAAGGAAATTCTGCTCCCATGATTTAGGATGTCTGATCAACCAACCACCTTATACTTGGCAATCTGAACTTCATACCCCCAACATGCTTTTATCAGCTTGGGTCAGTGCAGTTTTATTGTAGCTTCTATTCTTTTCCTATTTTTATTTAAAGAAACTACTGGAATTCACATTTCCTCAGCAAATACACATTTTTTTGGGAAAAAAATGTAGACTTTGCCCAGGCCAAATTGATCTAGCTGATAAGGAGCTCATGATTCAGTGAGTCATTTTGCTCTCAAACAAATATTTACTCGCAGAGATAACACAAAAACAGCATTCCAGCCTTGCTGCATCCTTTCACCTTCTGCTGACAACACCAAGAGAAAGTGGTCACCCCCAGAGCTCTGTGTGCACTTTGGGGGAAGGGATGTGTGTCTTTCCAGACAGCACTTCAGATTCCCTGGAATGACACATCCATTTTCCCAGCTGTGGACAGGTACAGGCATTGCTCAAACTTCACCACGTAAGGCTTTCAAGGAAGATCTTTAGACTCAATTTGCTGGAAATCCTGCAAGAGGCACAGGCAGAGGATCCTGTTGCAGAGTAGTTGGCTTTGGTCTTTTCCAAGTACATCTGTGGTTTTTCATCTTTTCTGCCCTTTCATCTGCTCAGGGAAAGCCTATGAGGAGTTCATGGGCAAATTGACTCATAAAGTCCTTACTCCACGGGCATCAGGCACAACATTCCTTTAATTTGTGGCCACATCCCACACACAAAGGGACAAGAGGGCAAGGAAAATAGTTCCTACCTACTCCTCTAACAGCAATCTCTTAGCTCTCAATCTCTGAGCAGTACCAGACGTGTTCTCTACACACACACACCTCAAACCCAGCTCACGCCAGTGCCCACACAGACATTTTTTTTGCTTCTAAATCCCTTGCAAGAATTGTTAGAGCACACAAATCTCTAAATTTGAATTTATAGTTCAAATTGCTGAAAAATAAGATCAGTTTTGAACACAAGGCACAATAGCAATTCTCACCGTGTCCCTGTAAGCTCTCAAAGCACTTTGGTATTGTCAGTGTCAATGCATCCAACCAGTTCAGGCTCCAAGGGACAGTGGAAAGCTCTCTCACCCTAGAGGAGATGGATTTTTTTGTCTTCTCTGGATGCTTTGCACTCTGAAAGCAATAAATGTCCATCCTTTTAAATGTCCATCAGGCAGTGCTTAGTGAGGCAAACATGACTTTTACTGCAGAAACAAGTACTCACATGGGGAAGAAGAGATATTCCATGCTGCCCTTTCCATGTTATTTTCCTGTATCTATTTGCTTCAAATCTGCATGAAAAGTGAATGAAACAAATTCACTAAAAGCCCAACATGGTGCAAAAACAGAACATCTGTGCCCTAACTTATGCCTATAGCAAGTTCTGTCCATTGAAGCTCCTTTCAATCTCTTTCTGAACTTGAGAATTCACCAGTGATTAGTCTGATTTAGTGTAAAATTCAGAGCAAAACAGTTGTAAAAATGACTTGGGAATTTAGGAATGGACTCTATCCTGAATCTGTACTATCAGGACAATTTTGCAGCCTCATTGAGGGTGTTAGGTGACTTCACACAAATTGATTTCCTTACGATCCACAAACTCTCCCAATGAGTTTCTCTTTGTAGCTCTGTGGTTAAACCTACACAGCAACCCTTTCCTCACTGGATGTTTCTCTTACTTTCCCATTTCTCCAGGTTGGCATTGAAGTCTATCCCACAGCAAAGTGGATGAAACAGTGCAGCTGGGAGCAGAACATGGCCAACACCTTTGTCACTGTCCCTGATGGGTATTGCCTTCCTGAGCCCATACAGTACTATGGTGAGTAAAGCAACAGTTTTATACTCTGATAATATAGCAAAATTAACAGTTGAGGAGGGACACTGAGGTGCTGGAGCAGGTCCAGAGAAGAGCAATGAGGCTGGTGAAGGGACTGGAGCACAAGTGCCATGAGGAGAGGCTGAGGGAGCTGGGGGTGTTCAGCCTGGAGAAGAGGAGGCTCAGGGGAGACCTTATCACGCTCTGCACCTCCCTGAGAGGAGGTTGGAGTCAGGTGGGGGTTGTTCTCTTCTCCCAGGCAACCAGCAGCAGGACAAGAGGGCACAGACTCAAGCTCTGCCAGGGAAGGGTTAGGTTGGAGATTAGGAAGAGATTTTTTCTGGAGAGAGTGCTCAGGCATTGGAATGTGCTGCCCAGGGAGGTGGTGGATTCACCATCCCTGGAGGTTTTCAAGCTGAGACTGGATGTGGCACTTAGTGCCATGGTCTAGTGACCACAGTAGGGTTGGACTTGATGATCTTGGGGGTCTTTTCCAACCCAGTTGATTCTATATTTATGATATTAAACCCACAAAACATTTGAAAACTTTCAAGCAGCTGATGTTGAGATAATTCTCCAGGCTCTTATTTCACTTTCAATTTCCCCTGTATGCAGATGTTTTACCAGAACACATCAACTACCAGCTGCAAGACACGGATTTCCAGACTGCACCTTACTGCCAGTACTCAGCAGTCCCAATTCCTGCTCCAGCCCTGCAGTCTCAGCCCCCTCCATCCCCATATGGCACATATGGGCTGGACCCTGTGTACAGCGAGGGGCCGTGCGTCGTCAGCAGCTGTGAGCTCAGCAAACCTCCCTTCCTGCCCCCACACATGGATGATGGGGGATACCAGGGCTTAAAGAGGCCGAGATTAAACCACTCCGTGAGGCTGAAGGGGCAGGAGGAGCTGTGTGTGGTGTGTGGTGACAAAGCCTCTGGATATCACTACAACGCACTGACCTGCGAGGGCTGTAAAGGTGAGCACAGGTGACCTGCAGCTTGCCCAGAATCTGTCCCACAGTGCTCAGCACGTTCCACATCTGTGATTTAAACAGAGTTTGTGATCTTTTAAGCTGCTGTTTCTACAGATTTTCATTCCCCTATCATACTTACTCCAGATTCACATTTTCATAACCTTTTTTGGAAATGTCTGTGTTTAACTGAGCATTTCAAGTATCTCATTTGTGCATTGAGGACTCACTAGAACAGTCTCTGCTTAAGCAGGTGCTGATTTCCTTGTGAACATTTATTATAGATTTACTTCAGTGTTATTAATTTCCCTTATTTAATAAAATTAACTAAAAGCAAGTAGTAATTACTTGCTAATTATATTTTAACTTTCTACATGGGAGCTCTCTCATGAGGGACAGCACTGATCTCTGCTCTCTGTGACCAGTGACAGGACACAGGGAATGGCTGGAGTTGTGTCAGGGGAGGATTAGGTTGGATATGAGGAGAAGGTTCTTCCTCCAGAGGTGTTTGGGCACTGAAGAGCTCCTCAGGGCAGTGGTCATTGTCAGAGCTCAAGCAGCATCTGGATGATGCCTAATCATACCCTGAGCACTGGGAGCAGTTTGGGCACCAAGAAAGATATAAAGGTATTAGAGAAGCACTGAAGAGCTCCTCAGGGCAGTGGTCATTGTCAGAGCTCAAGCAGCATCTGGATGATGCCTAATCATACCCTGAGCACTGGGAGCAGTTTGGGCACCAAGAAAGATATAAAGGTATTAGAGAACATCCAAAGGAGGTAATGGGTGAAGGGTGCATTTCAAGTATCTCATTTGTGCATTGAGGACTCACTAGAACAGTCTCTGCTTAAGCAGGTGCTGATTTCCTTGTGAACATTTATTATAGATTTACTTCAGTGTTATTAATTTCCCTTATTTAATAAAATTAACTAAAAGCAAGTAGTAATTACTTGCTAATTATATTTTAACTTTCTACATGGGAACTCTCTCATGAGGGCCAGCACTGATCTCTGCTCTCTGTGACCAGTGACAGGACACAGGGAATGGCTGGAGTTGTGTCAGGGGAGGATTAGGTTGGATATGAGGAGAAGGTTCTTCCTCCAGAGGTGTTTGGGCACTGAAGAGCTCCTCAGGGCAGTGGTCATTGTCAGAGCTCAAGCAGCATCTGGATGATGCCTAATCATACCCTGAGCACTGGGAGCAGTTTGGGCACCAAGAAAGATATAAAGGTATTAGAGAACATCCAAAGGAGGTAATGAAGGTGGTGAAGGGTCTGGAGGGGCCACATGAGGAGAGGCTGAGGGCACTGGGGTTGTTCAGCTGGAGAAGAGACTGAGGGCAGAGCTCACTGGGGTCTGCAGCTCCTTCATGAGGGGCAGCGGAGGCTCTGTGACAATGACAGGACACATGGCTGGGGGGGAGCTGTGTCAGAGGAGGTTTGGGATGAATACTGGGAGAAGATTCTTCCCCCAGAGAGTGTTTGGGCACTGGAACAGCTCCCCAGGGCAGTGGGCACAGCCCCAAGTCTGACACAGCTGAAGGAGCATTTGGACAACCCTCTCAGGCACATGGTGGATTTTGGGGTGTCCTGTGCAAGGCCAAGAGTTGGACCAGATGATTCTTGTGTATCCTTTCCATGTGATTCTCTGTATGGAAAACAGCAATTAATATTAGCCAGAAAGAACCAAATATAACCATATTGCTAAAAACCAAACTTATAATCAAGGCAACGTTTCCATTTAAAAAAAACAAAACAAAACAAACCCGAAAGACACTTCAATTCTTTAAATTCAGATGAGATAAAGCTCCTCAGATTGCTTCAGCCCTAACCTGGTCCTTGTCCACAGGTTTCTTTCGCCGCAGCATAACCAAGAATGCTGTGTATCGGTGCAAGAACGGAGGGCACTGTGAGATGGACATGTACATGAGAAGGAAGTGCCAGGAGTGTCGCCTCAAGAAGTGCAAAGCTGTGGGAATGCTGGCAGAGTGTAAGTGTCCCTTCCATGCTGGCTGCTTTACTCGAGGAAACCTTTCCCAGAGTCAATCCCTTCTCAAGAGAGCTAAAAGCTACTGGTCTAAACTTCACTTCGCTGTAGAGAAATTCACTCTGGAGTCTGTAGAACTGTGGCATCTCCATGTGGAGAAACTGGCAATGCTTGGGAAGTATGTGCTCAAGCGGAGTGCTGTTCTTCAAAGATATTACAAGGAAAAAAGAAAGGAAGTACTAACAAGAGAAGCTAAATTTCCTGCACCTTGTCAGGACAGCAGTGAGCAGATCAGATGTGCTTTAGTGTTTAGAGGGAAAAAAAAAGAAAAGTTGCATGATAGTCTTTGATGAAAAATTCTGGTGTCTGTGTATCACAGAACCACAGGCAGAAAGAGACTGGAAACCCTCAGGCCTTTGGTGGATACTGAACACCAACTCACCTGACAAATCACACGTCACATCCTCCAGTGTGGGGGTCCTTCTAGGTGGTGCAAGACTTGAGCTATTCCTAATAAGGTCCTTCTAGGTGGTGCAAGACTTGAGTTATCCCTAATACAGTGATGATTTCAAATCCTAATTAATATTGCTGCCACTCCCACCCCTCCCAGGTTTGCTGACTGAAGTCCAGTGCAAGTCAAAGCGACTCAGGAAGAACTTCAAGCAGAAGAGCAGTTTCCTTTGCAACATAAAGCTGGAAGATGAGGGACTGAATAGTAAGCATGTGTCATCTACAACAAGATCTGGAAAAGTGGGATATTCTTCTATTTAAAATACCTCTTTTTAGCATTTCTTTTTACCCCTAGTCAATGTCACTTGATTGATTTCTTTCCTAACAGATCCCAGAGAAGATGGAACTTACTCCAGGGGAACATCAGCTTCTTGACCACATTGTAGCAGCACATCAAAAATACACAATTCCCCTTGAGGAAGCCAAGAAGTTTGTAGGTATCAGTACACTCAGCTGCACTGCTGAGCTGTTGTTATCCTCAGCACTGTCCCCTAGTCAATGTCACTTGATTGATTTCTTTCCTAACAGATCCCAGAGAAGATGGAACTTACTCCAGGGGAACATCAGCTTCTTGACCACATTGTAGCAGCACATCAAAAATACACAATTCCCCTTGAGGAAGCCAAGAAGTTTGTAGGTATCAGTACACTCAGCTGCACTGCTGAGCTGTTGTTATCCTCAGCACTGTACCTTGATCAGATGTCTTTTTTCTCTTTCATGCAGCTACAAGAAACTGCAAGTCCCGAGGAAAGTTTCCTGCGTCTCTCTGAGACAGCTGTTGTCCACGTACAAGTGTTAGTGGATTTCACAAAGAGACTTCCAGGTAAGTTTCTTCCTTTGGGAATATTACAGAAACCAAAGCATACTGGTGGCAGGAATCCAAGGAAAATACAGGCTTTAAGGAAATGTTTTCAACTGACTAATTTTTCCTTCTAATTTACCATTTACTTGTCCAGAGGACAACTTAGAAGTTTCACTTCAAACTTTTGCTAGGATGAGATTCCTTTTGCATTTCTGGTGTGGAGAAGAGACACTTTCTGGAAGCACATGGACTCCAAAATACCATCCTGAGAGACTCCCTTTTCCAACACATTCTCTGAAATCCAATTGACTTTGCCATTTATCATAATCACTAAAGAAAAATCAGATGTTCCTCCAAAGGCAAAGGCAGCACAGAAGGGACTAATCAGGTGCTCCTATTCATGTTTTCCTGTCATAAAGGAACAAGGGGAAATGCAATTAAATTCACTGAGTTTCAATGTAAAGTTGACAAAGTAACATCTGACAGGGAGGAGGAGAATTTTTTTGTTGTCAAACCCTGACAAAAGTCAATCACCATGTCTAAAGCAGGTGCTGGATGTGATTTGGAACTCCTTTGGGACAGAGCTGAAAGAATGGATGAGCTGATTGTTTTCATATGTTACATATCCTACTTTGATCTGGATGAAGAGAAAATCACTGAAGTTCCTTGGCACAGGAATTATAAGTGCAGATAATGAACTTGTCAAAAGATGGACAGAATATTAAAAAAGATAATGGATCAATAAGGGGAATATCCACAGTCACTAAGCAATATAGCAAATTTATCAGGTATCAGGTCAAGCAACATACATCAGATATTAGGAAGAATTTTTTGAAAAAGTCTTTACTTGTAACTCCCTGTGAATCTTCTAACTCTGGACACTGCCAACCTCTCCTCCTTTTTATCTTCAACTGTCTAACCTGCACACAAGATCCCAATAGCCTTTGGCACACTCATCACTTAACTATGTCCTCTTTTCCAGTCAAGGGTTTATTAAAAAAAATAATCATTTTCTCACCTTATGTTAAGAGTTTAAAGGCAGCCTCAGCCTTCCTTGATTCTCAACACAGACCTTTCTCTGCAGGATTTGAAAGTTTAGCTAGTGAGGACCAGATTGCACTGCTGAAAGGGTCAACAGTCGAGGCAATGTTCCTGCGCTCAGCCCAAATATACAACCAAAGACTGAGCGAGTGCCAACCCTCAACCAGTGGAAGTAAGTTGCACTAGTGAGCTTTCTACCAACACCAGGAGGAGGTTCCCAACAAAGAGCAACATTTCTGAGTGCCTGCAGAAATTATGGGGTGAATGGCTATATTAATGACTTGCTATATATTGTGTCAGGTTGAACACAAGAGACTTTGACCAACAATAATGCAACAAAGAACTTGGTGCCAGATGCCAAAAACAGAAGGGGTTTAATACCTGCATAGATCTCAGGGAAAAAAATCATTTATTTCCACGTTTTCCTATATTGATGGGGAAAAGTCACATGGCTTTGGGTATATATCTTGGAGACAAATATTTTAAGTCACTTTAAGCTTGGCTGAGAACTGTCATCTGTCTTGTTTCAGGTCATGTAAGACTTTCTGACCATGGGACGTGTTGTCATGTTCAAAACCTTGACAAAAACATTTATTCCATGGAAATGTCTCACAATGAGGAAAGTCCAACTTCCACTACAACCACAGGTAATGGAGGTCTCAGAATCTAAATGCTGGGAATCTTTTGCTTTGCTGGTCCTGTTGTTAATCCCCCTGAGCAACACTGTCCCTGTGGCCACTGCTCCCTGTCCTCTCTCCCTCAAGATCCTTGTGGCAGGAAGAGGTGGTGCTCATGTCTGATTATATCCCAGGATAAAGCCTTGAGCTATATATACATCCAAAGCTCCACAATGCAACAGCAACACAACTCTGGGTACTATTTAGGAAATTAACATTGTTTTCACAAAGTTTGTTAACTATTTCATGCAATGAAACAGCCTTACAAGAGGCACAGAATCACAGGATGGGTCAGGTTGGAAGGGACCACAGTGGATCATCTGGTCCAATCTCCCTGCTCAAGCAGGGCCAGCCCAGAGCTCATGGCACAGGGTTGTGTCCAGATGGTTCTGGGATATCTCCAGTGAGGGAAACTCCACATCCTCTCTGGGCAATTTGTTCCAGTGTGTGGTCACTGCATAGGAAGGAAGTTTATCCTCATGCAGGTAGAACTTCTGGGCATCAGTTTCTACCCATTGCCTATCTGGACACACAGGGCAGAGCCTGAGCCAGCCTCTGACACCTCCCTGCAGATACTGATGAGGTCTTTCTCAGTCACCTCTTCTTGAGACTGAATGGCCTCAGCTCTCTCAGCTTTTCATAGAATCATGGAATCATTCAGGTTGGAAAAGCCTCTAAGGTCATGGAGTCCAACGATTCACCATTTCATAGTTTCATAGTATGTTATGGGGTTCAAATGGACCTTAGAGTTCATCCAATTTCCTCCTAAGAGAGATGCTCCAATCCCTTAGCCATCTCTGTAGCACAGGTGTGACCTCACTGGATTGAGATGCAGGATTACCTCCTGCCATCCACACAAACCCAAATGTACTGAAATAATGTCCTATTTCCCTTCCTTTCCAAGGCATCACCGAGGAATTTATCACTGCCCTGTTCTACTTCTACCGAAGCATGGGGGAACTCAACGTGACCGAGACGGAATACGCTCTGCTCGTGGCCACAACTGTGTTCTTTTCAGGTAAAGCAGGGAAGGTGACAACAAGCTGTCACCTGCCCTGAGCATCCCCCATCCCTGCACCCACCCCTCACAGCAACTTTTCACTATCTGAAGGGCAACAGGGAGCCAGAGAGACTCTGTGTTAGGAACTGCAGTGACAGGACAAGGGTGGGTTCAAACTGAAGGAAGGAAAGTTTAGGTTGGATGTGAGAAAAAAGTTTTTTACTCTGAGGGTGGTGAGACACTGGAAGAGGTTGCCCAAGGATGTGGTGGCTGCTCCAACCCTGGCAATGTTTAAGGCCAGGCTGGATGAGCCTTGAGCAACCTGATCTAGTGAGGAGGTGTCCCTGCCCAGGGCAGGGGTTGGGGTGGATGATCTGTCAGGTCCACCCTTAAAATTCTACGACTCTGACTCTGTGCTTTCCCCACCCGCCCGCTCCTGCGGAACAAGCGCCACGTGGAGGAACTTCAGGAGCCTCTGCTGGGCATCCTGTACAAGTACTCGAAGCTGCAGCACCCCGAGGACCCGCAGCACTTCGCGCGGCTGTTGGGGCGCCTGACCGAGCTGCGCTCGCTGGACCACGCACACGCGGAGGTGCTGCT